AATCACGCGGCCGAGGCTCCGCACGAAACATTCCGCCCGCCTCCGTCCTGTGGACGGAAGGGACACGAGATACTCCTTCCTACGTTAGCCGGCAGAGTTAGAGCCCACCGGGAGCCGGACCAGCTTCACTAAGGGCCTGGTGAACGCGGAATTGGCCGTGCGCACCTGCGCAACACGCACGCGTCCGTCAGGCCCGGCGTGCAACGCAGTGATTCGAGCCAAGCGCCATCGCGACGGGGGCAGCTGCTGATCAATGATGACCACGAGCTCGCCGATCTCCGGGGGGTCCGATTCTGTAGTCCACTTGCGCCGAGCCTGCAAGGTGTGTAAGTACTCGCGGGCCCAGCGGGACCAGAGATGTTCTGTCATCTGTCGGAGCATCTGCCAGCGGGAGAGCCGATGCTCATTGACGTCCGTCAAAGTCGGCTCCGGGACACTGACCAAGGGCCTTCCAATCAGGAAGTGCCCCGGGGTCAAGGCGTTGAGGTCGTCCGGATCGTCCGATATTGGCTGGAGTGGTCTGGAGTTCAGACATGCCTCGATACGAGCGAGGAGCGTGCTGAACTCCTCGTATGTGAGCGCCCGGTCGCCGATGACCCGCCGAAGGTGATGTTTCACCGATCGAACGCCGGCCTTCCACAATCCTCCGAAGTGCGGCGCCGAAGGCGGCTGGAAGCGCCATTCCGTACCGTCATCGGCCAGTGCTGCGGCGACGGGTCCGTCCTCCGAGCGCGCGGCCTTCAGCGCAGCGCGGAGCTCCTTATCGGCTCCCACGAACGTCGTTCCCCGGTCGCTATAAATGAAAGCGAGCACTCCTCGCCGGGCGGTGAAGCGATGGAAGGCCGCTAAGAAGGCGTCAGCGGTATAATCGCTGACAATCTCCAGATGAACGGCACGGGTGACAAAGCAGACAAATACGGCGATGTACCCCTTGGTGCCATGGTGTCCTCTCCCCCGTGCGGTCTTCACCTTGACGGGGCCCGCGTAGTCGACTCCGCTAGTGTGAAAGGGGGGCGACGGCGTGACTCGCGCCGCCGGTAAGGGCGCCATCAACGGCTGCAGAGGCGTGGCCTTATGTCTGACGCAAGTGACACAGCGGTGGATTATACCGCGCACCAGGCTGCGGCCCGCCGGGATCCAGAACTCCCTTCGCAAGGTCGTCAGGGTGAGCTGCACACCTCCGTAAAGAGTTGTCAGGTGGGCGTGCCACACCAGCAGCTCCGTCAGCCGAGAGTCCCGTGGAAGTATGAATGGATGGTTCTCCTCCTGTAACTGACAAGAATGGCGCAGCCGCGCACCGACGCGCAACAACCCATCCTGATATAGGTAAGGGTGCAACGGAGTCAGCGGACTCCGTTAACCGCCGGTTAATCGCAGCCCCCCTCCGCAGCTGATGGATCTCCCGGTAGAAGCGACGCTGCGCGAGACGAAGCAGTGCGAGCTTCGCCTGCCTGAGCTCCGCCGCAGACAGGGCCCGAGTGCGGGGGCGGTGTCGTCGTAGAACGCGCAACACGTACGCCACGACGCGCAGCGCCCGCGAATACGACGAGATCCGTAGAAGCAGGTTCCATTCCTCGTCCGGATTCTCGAGAACCCCGGTTGTGGCAAGCGCTCGCCGCTCCTCCCCCATCGCGGGGGGCCCGGCGGGCGCGAAGTTGGTTGGCCACTTCTCACTTGAGCCCCCGAGCCAGCCGGGGCCGCTCCACCAGAGGCAATGCTGCCGAAGCTCACTCGGCGGCAGCCCACGCGATGCAACGTCGGCAGGGTTGTTCTCAGACAGAACGTGGCGCCAGAGCGCACCGGGAACAGCCTCGTGGATAGTAGCGACCCGATTGGCGACGAACGTCTTCCACCGCGATGGGTGGCCCTGCAGCCAAGCGAGCACAATGGTGGAGTCGGTCCACAAGTACGTCGGTGCCGCGGGCAGGCTTTCCCGGATGGTGGCGACCAGTCGCGCGAGCAGATGGGCGCCGCACAGCTCCAGGCGTGGCAAGGTAACGCGCTTAGTCGGTGCAACTTTGCACTTAGCGAGCATCAGGCGGACGGTCACGTGGTGTTCCCCCTGGACGACACGCAAATATGCCACGGCCGCGTAAGCGCGCTTCGACGCATTACAGAAGCCGTGGATTTCCACCCGTTCAGAGGCGGCCGACCATCCCAGCCAACGGGGGATGGAGATTGCGGAAATAGCAGAAAGCTCTTCACAGAACCGTTCCCAACGGACTCGGATATCAGGTGCAACTTCTTGGTCCCAGTCAGCTCCGAGAAGCCACAACTCCTGCAGCATGATCTTCGCTCCGATGGTGACCGGGGATAGCCAGCCTAAGGGATCAAATATGCGGGCAACCCCGGAGAAGATGCGCTTGGTGATCCTCGCCTGTACCGGAGGATCGAGGACGAAGCTGAAGGCGTCGACCTTGGGTGCCCAGCGAACCCCCAGCATGGCCGCTGCTAGCTCATCGCGATTCCTCAGAGTCCGCAGGGATTCGCGATCCTTCTCGGCGATGTCCCGCAACAACTCTGCACAGTTGGAAGCCCACTTTCGCAAGTTAAAGCCGCCCGCCGTGAGGAGGTGTCGCAGTTCGGTCTGTCGTTCCCGCGCCTCGTCCAGGGAGTCCGCCCCGGCGAGCACATCGTCCACATAGGTGCTGCAACGCAACATCTCCGACGCTCTCGGAAAGCGCGTTTGCTCGTCGTCCGCCAGCTGAAGCAGCGTGCGGATTGCTAGATACGGGGCGCAGGCGGTACCATAGGTCACGGTCGCGAGCCTATAGGTGTTGATGGGCTGCGTTTCCCCTTTGCGCCAGAGAATCTGCTGCAAGGGCTGATCCTCGGGGTGTACCTTAATCTGGCGGAACATCTGCTCGATGTCCGCCGCAAATACCACTCGATGCAGCCGCCACCGCAGGAGGACATCCCGCAAGTCCCTCTGTAGCCTCGGTCCTGTATGGAGCACGGCGTTGAGCGATACTTCGGTGGAGCTGGCTTGTGAGGCGTTGAATACAACGCGGACCTTGGACCCAGCGGCGGTCGGCTTGAGCACCGCGTGGTGCGGCAGGAAATATTGTGGCCGGCCGTCGGTCCGGTCGCCGACGCCCCTGACCATGTGATCCTGCTGCTCGTAGTCCCGCAGGAACAGCGTGTAAGCCTCACGCAGGGACGGATTCTTGTCAAGACGTCGCTCCAGACGGAGCAAGGATGAACGCACGATGGGCGCGGACTCGCCCAGCATGTCGACACTCGGACTGTCCCGCAAGGGTAGCCGCACTGTGTAGCGGCCATCCGCTCCGCGCTTATGAGTGGCCGCGTAGTGTGCGTCACAGGCGGTCTCCTCCTCGGTCCAAGGAGACGCAGACGGGAGTTCCTCCACCTCCCAGAATCGACGAAGCTGGTCCGCCACCGGGTCCGCCACACAGTGCAGTGAATGGACGCTGGCTAGACGACCGGGAGAGTTTTCAGAGACGGCCCCAGACAGCAGCCATCCCAGCCTCGATGCCTGGGCCACCGGGGTTCCCGGTGCACCTCTCTTCACTTTGCCCAGAAGAATGTCCGCGTAGACCTCAGCCCCCAGGACGGCTTCGATGCCTGCAGCACTCGCGTGAGGATCCGCAAGACCCAGGCCCTGGAGGTGCCTCCATTCTTCGGCTCTAACGCAAGACGGCGGCTTGTAGGAGGTCAGGCGTGGCAGCACGAGCGCCTCGAGCGGGCGCGAGTAAGGCGCACCCGAGAGGGAGTGCAGGACAGCCGTGACCGTGGATCGGGCCAGAGCGGTCTCGGTCTCGCCCAATCCCGAAATGCGGACGCGCGTCGGCTGGCGAGGAGCCCGTAAGCGTTGGACAACGGATTCGAACACGAAGTTGAGTTCTGACCCTGAATCAACAAGTGCTCTCACAATGGTCGAGCGTCCAGAAGCGACTTGCAATCGGACTCGGGCTGTTGCGAGGAGAACACGGCGCTCACGCGGATGGGAGGCCAGATGCGCAACCGCCCGCGCCTCCGTGGCCGAGGAGTCAGTGAGCCCCGAATGACGATCCTCGTGGAGCAAGGTATGGTGGGCCTCCTGACATACTTGGCATCGCTTGGGAGAATTACACTCCTGCAAGCGGTGAAAACTAGACAGACAGTTCGCGCAAAGTTGGTGGTCAGCAACCTTGGTCTTACGCTGCGTGACGGACAATCCCCTGAAGTCCGGGCATTGCAGGATGAAGTGCGTCTTTTTGCAGAGCTTGCAAGGGAGCGGCTTGACCCTGGAGGCGTGCAGCGCCCGTGATTTAGCCGGCTTACCTGTCTTGAGTGTGGACGGCGCCGTCGAGGGCGCGGCAAGGCTCGACGGAGCTACCGCCTCCAGCTCTCTTATTTTACCCTCCAGGAATCCGCTGAGTAGAGTCCAAGAGACCGGATCCTGCTGATCGCTCGTGGCTCTCTCCCAGTCACGGCGCGTGACGGAGTCCAGCTTTGACGCCGTCAGATGCACTAGCCAGTCGTCCCAGTAGTCGACCGGCCGTTTCAAATTGTGCAAGGCCGTGCGAATTTCGGCCGTGTGGTCATAGACACGTTTAATCTCTTGCGCCGATTCCTTGTGGATTGGGGCAATGGCGGTGAGGGTGGACAGATGAGAGCTCACTAACAAACGCTTATTGTCATATCGCGCACACAATGTATCCCAGGCGGAGTCGAAATTATCCGACGTTACTCCGAAATTTCGAATCAGTCTCTCCGGGTCTCCGCTAAGACTCTGCTTTAAGTAATGCATCCTTTGCACGCTCGATAGCGCCGGGTTCTTACGCACCAGAGAGTCGAATAGGTCATGATAGCTTCGCCACTCGGAATACGAGCCGCTGAAGCGGGGTATCGGTACGCGCGGTAGCTGGACTCCAGGCGCGGCGACGGCTCCGGGTGCAGGAGCCGACGCGACATTTGACCCGCCCACGGTCAGACCGCTCTGCATGTCCAGCAATTCTCCTCGCTGTTGCAGGTAAGTCTCCTGAGTCACGGTAAACTGGTCTCGGGTTACGTAGTCCGAGGTCGCTAGGGTTTTGTCACCCAAGCGACGGAGCTCCATATCGTTGTCCGAGAATTGCTGCCAGTAGCCGTCGAGCAAGGAGATGCGGGAATCCAAAGATCCGCGAGATTTCCCCTGCTTTTTCTGATTCTCGACGGACCTAGCGATCAGACCCAGCAGTCGTTGCTGATGATCGAAAATCTCCTGCATGGTGGATGCTCGAAGGTTTACTTAGCACGGACGTTGCACCACGAAGAGGCGATAAGAGCACCACTGATAACTGGTCACAATTCGCGGAATCACGCCACTCGGCTCCGCGCGCCGTCGGGCCGGGAGCGTGGCACTCGGGAACGGGTAACGAGGCAGCGCGTGAGCGAGCCACCCCCCTCCTCCGTCACCCGCCGCACAGGTGTCCAACACGCGCGAACCACGAAGGCGCGGCGTGGTACGAACGAGACGCGCACCCGTTATTAATCGTTGGATTAATTAACGCGAACGCTTATTGCGTTCGGAGGCACTCAATCCCCGATCCGGCTCGAAGGACCAAATGTTTACGACGCGTCGGCGGGATGCTGAATTTTGCGATCGGTAGATTGAGCGTACTCCGTGGTTTCGACAATGCACTTTTTATTGGTCACACATAAATTTACAGAAAAAAAAGAAGGGAACTGAACAACAACTAAATAAGAGCGCGGGCGCGCGGTCGGCGCACGACTCCACGCGTCGGTTCTCCGCGAACGCACGGTCGGCGTACGTACGGCGGTGTCGAAGCGACGACGACGTTGAATGAACCGAGACTGAGGCCCCGAAAGGAATTCGGAAGCCTTTGACTCGCCGAAATCGACAATAATAATAATACGAATAACAGAAAGTTCGCGGAAGATCACGCGGCCGAGGCTCCGCACGAAACACAAGTATTTAAAATTAGTGGTTGTTAAAGCGAATCTTCTTCCCAATATACGAGGCATCTTCGAAATATGAGACATTTAATTCTGTAAAAAAATTAAAGCATTGAAAAACATAAATTAAGCATGGAAAATAATTTATTAAAACTTACGGTCTCTCGATCGCCTCATCCTTCAGCGGAACGTAGAAATTCATTATAGTCGAAAGAGAACAGACCAATCTGGCACCTCTCTGTCAAAATCTAGCACCACTCTATCAAACGTTCTTTCGAATACTGATTTCAAAGTGCGACAGACAATTCCGCGGCAGTTGTATATCTATACGCAACGCCTCTTCTATAAATGCCCAGCTTTGTCCATCGTGGCGATTGAACGAAACTCTTATACCCCTGGCGTTAAATTCATCGGGATCCTTGTCTGATTGGTGGAAAAGGAACGATTTCCACCACACATCGAAAC